TTGTACAGGAAATTTCCATGTACCTACCTGCAAAAAAGCAACTAAAAATTAATAAAAATCACAAAGTTATGTTGATTACAAGAGAAAAGATCGCAAAACTGTCTGCAATTGCCCCATACTACTCTACATGCCGATATAAGTATCAACAATACAATCAAAGAAACCGAACTATACAAAATAAAATAAAATAAATTAGAATTTAAATTCTACAATAGATAAATAATTGGGGAATAGAGGAAGAGCGGAATAGAGGAACGACAGAGGAATAAGAGAGGAATAGTCGGGGAATAGAGGAAGAGCGGAATAGAGGAACGACAAACAAAACCAGAAAGAAGCACAAATCTACATCTTGACTTAACGGACGAATTTAATATCTGATAATTGTCCCTTTTTGCCCAATTATTACTTTGCCCAAGATTATTGCAGTAAAGCTACAAACTAATCTGAAATTGCGACTATATAATTAAGTACATTAAACATTTCTCTACAAAATGAAAAGTGTCTGGGCTCTGAATGTTGATTCGTTATGAAAATACAGCTGTCGCACAAACTGCCCCAAGAATCGCTTTTGGAGCTATCTGAACAACTTTCCAAAAGACTGAAGACGAGCAGGCGAAAATTCAACAAGTATACCAGTTTGTAGAAAATTGTTTGCTGTGCAAGATGCCATAGCTTGTTAAGTTCGAAACTATTCTAATTAATCTGCATTTAAGGTAAAAAAAAATCAGAAAAGCCGTCACGGTGTGACACTTTTGACCGTATCAGCGATAGTACAGTCAAACGATAATCATAAAATGTATGGACCCTTGATTAGTCGAATATCAAGAGAACAGTTAAAATCGTCAATGTCAAATGTAAGAGTGAGAATTTAAAATACCGTTAGTTCATTTATGAGAAATCTTGCAGAAACCACTAGACGGGAAACAGGCAAATGAAAATATAATAGATTCCTTGAATCAAAATCAAAATTCAACCAATAGAAAAGTAAATTTGTCTTCTCAGCGTTCGAACCAGGTGTCAGTTCTCACGATCAATGGTATTCGTCCATCAGGGAGTTCAACATTAATCGGTGATCCAACTTTGTTGAATGAGAACAGATCAAAGAAGCGATATCAAACGAAACAAATGAGCAGAAGAGATCACCGATATGAATATTTTTCTTCTACTTCTATCCCTAGCTTGTCGAAAATATTTATTTAGTCATAAAAAACGTTTACGATCTAAGATTGTCTTCGTTCTGTGTTTATTCATTGGTATACTTGCAATATTCGGTGTTATTGCCTCATCTATTTCTGTAATTGTAACGGCTCATAGTAAAATCACATATACAAGTAGTTCAACTTCTAGTACTAGTACAGTTGGAAGTTCATTCTGTTCATATAGTTCACTTGAAAACATTGCATGTATTCCCACTGGATATGATTTACATACATGTGTGTACACAGCAACTAGTACAAATACAACAATAATATTTGAAATGCAAAATGATGCTTCATCTTGGCTACTAGATGATGTTAGTGTCATTGGATCGAGTGGAAATGTGATAAAAAATGGAGAATTTAACGTTACTTTAGCTCCATGGAAATACAGTAACCCATTTAATGATAATGGTTTATCTGGTATGTCAAACCAAAATTCATGTACTGCAGATGATAGTTATATGTTTGAAGCTGAAGGAGCACCTGATTATTTGACACAATCATTTGCAACAGTTATCGGTCAAAGTTATACAATCAATTACTATTTATTGGAGAGCGGGGGATCTACTACAAGCATTTGTTCAGCAAAACTGTAATACCATAAACTGTAAAATTCTAGCTGAACTACTATTATATTCAAAAAAATTCTCTCAACAATCATTTTTTAAATTTTAAAAATAAAATCATCTTGCATTATTTTTCGTTGGGTTTAAGCTTTAATCTTGAATCTAAAACTAAATCGAGAATATAAATTCTCATTATATCACTCTGAAACTTAAACTATCAATAAAAAAATTTTATTGATAGTGTCAAATGTTAACGAGTTCGACGAAGCCAATTTACTGGAAGTTATTCGAAAACAGGTATGTACAAAGAAATTTAATGTCCCTAGTGATATTACGTTATCTACAAAAGAACATCCATCTCTTTATAGGTCACTTTTCTAAAGAGCAAAGCGAGAAAGAAAGCAAATCAACGCAAAATACTTCCATGCTGTTATGTCGATAAAGCGATTACTGTCGCTCTCCAAAAGCGAATGGTAAAAAAACAAACAAGGAAGTACTCTTTCATGATATTATTATACTTTATTTTACTAGGACAATAGCGATTTATCATCACGTATGATTCCCGTATGTTCAAACATTTCGGATACATCAATAGCTACTGCATCCAACAGCAAATTTACTAATCAATCAATGTATAATACTGTTTCGTCACCAAGCAATTCATTTCCTAACAATTCAGTGGGTATATATTTATATATGAAATAAATTACGTTTTAACTGCGCAAGGATGATTTAATTTCTTAGATAGCCAAAAAACGTACTTACACATCGGCTATAAATGCATGACATTAAAACGTCAAAGCTGATTACAAAATTGATATGTGCGCATGAACAAATATTCGTAGAACTGAAATATGAGCAGAATAAGAATAAGTAAGACCACATTCTACGAAATGTGGCACACCATTCTCTTTTCTCTTATACAGAACGCAACGCACAAAAGCATATCTACAAAATGGAATAAATTTTCGTTTTCATCAAGAAAAAATCAAATTTGCTTTTAATGTTTTCTGACATCGATTCTTTTGATGATATTATACATACACAAATTGAGATACGTGTTGATATTTTTGAAGAGAATGATGTTCATATTTTTCAGAAATGAATGCATTCTCTACTAATGGTATATGTTTGTCTTATTCAGTTATACGAGAATAGAAAATAATCTTCACAATATGCCAGACTTTATTTTCTTTTCGAATCGATTTGATTACTTCTTCAAACACAGTTAACCGCTATGTATCAAAAGATTATTCTTTTATCAACCTATACATATACTTTTCTTTTACAGTTTATTCTACTCTGACACTATTTAGACTTTCCTATAAGAGAAATTATTCTGTTTTTCTGTTAAAATAAGAAAAGAACAAATTTTATATTTCACTTTCCTCTTTTCTACTGTACTGATCACACCTATATTCTCCTCGTTCTTACACTTCTTACATTTGTACGTATAGTAGAAAATTCTTTCGTTCTGTATAATATTGTGAAATATTACAGACAGAAATGAAAGGTTAACAAGGGCAAATGCATAATTATCCTAATTATGCAAACAAAAATGCAGTTGAAAGAGATTTGAACAAAGTATACAATAATGAACATAATCAAATGAACAGAGAAGGACAGAATAAACGTACAAATGAATTCAGTGATGAAGAAGTCATGCAAATAGACGGCGAAAGATATGATGCATCAAATCATACCACTCGAAAGCGTTATCGAAATGATTCGAGAGGATTTGGACAGTCACGAGGCGGACAGCAATGTATGCAACAAAGACCACGACAGCAGCAACAATAGAACAATCGAGTTCAACAAAAACAGAGTCAGCAGCATCAGTCCAAACCATCAAATGAACGAAACCTTAATCCTCAAAGTGACGCACGTTTTGTGCAGCCTTCACTGGCGTGTACGGACAACGTTGCCGATCTAAGAGGAGATACTCATCCAAAAAATTCTATGAAATCTCGTGATGAAGCCCGTTTTGCACAGCCTTCATTGGCGCGTACGGACAACATTGCCGACCAAAGAGAAAGACAGGACCATGGAAATAATGCTGAATTTGAAATTTCAGAACAAGCTATAAAATTTGCTGTAGAACAACAATATGTTCCTATCAAGCTCGTTTGTCAACCTAAAATGCAATTGAAAGAAACAGCAATAAAAATGTCGAGTGATCTTATTGAACACATCAAAAATGATTTTCGTAAAGAAAATCCAAATTTTTTGGGAGCTCTCTTATTTGATTCATGTTGGATTGACTCAACAGGCGATGTGCAACTTCTAACAAAGACCACTGCTCTCTATGTTTTTCTTTGTCGAAAAGATCGTTATCCAAAGAAACTATGTAACATCGAAGTAACGCCTCTACCACCTCGTCACCTGCCACCTCATCGCACTGCAATTATTAAATGGATTCAGAAAAATGTACAGAATACAGAAATTAAACAAGAATTAGACAAAAAGTACACAAGCTTGTTTAATTTAGAATCGATGGCTGGTACGGAGAATGAAAATACTCGACATGTGAAAATTGAGTTATTAAATTACAGTGAGTACGAAGATTTGATTCATAGCAGAAAAATTAGTCTGAATGGCAATGCTCATGAAACTGACGAATTTTTGCCTGCACCTAAAATGATGATTTGTGGAAGATGCAACTGTCCAGGTCACACCAAGAAAAATTGTCAAATTTCTCAATTTGATATTTGTAAAAGATGCGGGAAAGATCGTACTCACATTCAAGAACACCGTGGCTGTCAAATCAAATGTCACCACTGCGGCGAAAATCACGTAGCAACAAGCTATAAATGTCCAATGATTTCTGATTTTCGATATGAATTAATTCAAAAGTTGAAACAGCATCCAGAGAAGCTTCCTCCTCAGGCTCAACTTTTTATTCCTGTTTCCTTTCGGGACGAAAATGATAGACAAAGAACAATTTCGAATTTTATGAATCCTCCTGAAAGAAAATTTCAACAGCCTCTTAATCAAGTGTACAACAGATCTGACTTGCAAGCCTGGCCGAGTATAAATCCAACTGTTATAACAACATCTCTCACACATTCAAATCTAGCTGACTTCGAAGAAAAATACAAAGCTATCCAACTGAAGTTAGACCTTATGGAAAAACGTCACGAAGATGAACGAATTGAAGCAGAGAAATTAAGAGATTTGGAAAAACTAAGAATTGAGGGAAAATATCGTTTTCATAGGAAGAAACTTAATCAAGTATGGCTTCAAACAGATGCATGTCAGGAAGTTCAACAAAAAATGTTAAAGAAATGTTTAACGTCTCAGAAAGAAGTTGCGACAGCCAATATTGAAGTTATTAGAGCAGTGCGCGACGTCAGTGATGAATTAAGAACAAAAATAAATATTTCTACGTTTGATAAATTTGTTGAGCCCTTGGACTCTCAATTGAAGTACGCTGAGTCAACAAAACAAAGACTGACACAACAACAAAATGAACTTCACACGGAACTAGCTAAATTCAATGAAGAAAAAAGAAAACCTTTACAAGAAATCCTGAATCTCAATGATGACCAGTGAAAGTTATTATTTAAATGAAGAATTACTAAACAATTTTGAAGGAACTCGTAAGGCGAAAAACGAACTTTTTAATATTTTTTCTGAATGGAATTCTGTAAATTGTCTGAGTGAGTTGTGTGTGAGTTGGAAAAAGTCTAGGCCCTTAGTTTCGTCTGAGAATTTGTCTGTTTTGCTGTGGAACTGTCAATGTTTAAAAACGCGCATACCAGAATTTGACTTTTTAGTTTCTACTTATTTACCACATATTTTCATCTTGACAGGAGTAGGCAGTCGGTTGAGTCAGCTTCCCTCGGTGCCAAACTACAGGTGGTTTAGTCAAAAAGGTTTAAACAGTTTCGGCGGTGTAGCTATTTTAGTGCATCAAAAAATCCAATGTACTGTTTCTGACCAGTCCGATAATTTCATTTTACTTGAGCTTGATATCTTGAGTCAAAAGCTGTACGTGGCTGGAGTTTATGCTCCCCCGAGCAGTTTGCTACCGCTTGACCTGTTCAGCAAACATGTCTCGAAAGACATTTACATTTTTGGAGACTTCAACGCACAACACTCGACCTGGAATTGCGAGACAAATGACACAAGGGGAAATAAACTGAACGAATGACTTGTCGAAAAAGGATTTGTAACAATTCATTCCATGGAACGTACATAAAAAAAATCAACAGCCATAATAGATTTTTGTATTGGAAAAGAAAAAAGGAATTGGAATGTTGAAAGATTAGAAGAAGGCAGTTCAGACCATTTCCCGGTGTTATTTGTGTCTCCTTTCAGTGCGGGTGAAAATGGGTCTTTCAGAAAAAACAAACTGGGAGTTATTTATCTACTTTGCTAGCGTGGTGCATCCTTATTGGAATGCGCAAGTCTACGAATTAGATTATAACGTTTTTTTTCGATCAGTTTTCAGCATTCTTAGTTGCACTTTTTGATCGCTGCAGTACCTATGAAAGTTTAAACACTTTCCGTCCTCCATGGCCTCTTTACCTTGTAAAATTAGCCCGCACTGTGAACAGTTTTAAAAGAAAATATCGTAAAACACGTTTTTTATGTCATTACGAAAATTTTAAGTCTTGGAACAAAATCTACGTGCAGGAGAAATTTAAGTTTGAGCAGGAGAGGCGTGACAAAAGAATAGAGCATATGAGACAAGGTCAGAACATCTGGTCTCATGTTAAACACGTTTTTCGTCCACATGCTCCAGCTTTCAAAGGTTTAAAAATGCAATGTCACGATCGACCTTCCGAAGTAAGAAATTTTTCATCTCAAAGTGAAGCACGTTTTGTTTTTTTTGTTTTTTTGACATACAAGTATTTATTGTTCCTTTTAAAAAGGTTAACAATTGAAAGATCTTACATTATTGAACAGTAAAAGGGAAAAAAAAGAACAAAAAGAAAGTACAAAAATTTTAATATTCAGT